CTAGCCGTCCTGTAGAAAATTTGCCACAAAGAAAACTCTGAGTCTGAGCAGCGAACGATGCACGCTTTCGGCGAACATTTTGATACCACGGAACTTCGGCGAGCGCGTGCTTCTTCGGAAACGATAGATCTTCGCACTGTCGAGTTCGGACCCGATTAATTACGAAGTACGTCTACTACGAGTGACTCATTTGCATATCCCTGTGCCTGCAATAATTCGTGGTACGCTCGCGCGTCCCCAAGAGTTAAAAAGGAATGAGCAAAGAGAACGTTTTTAGTTACACAAACAAGTTCCCTATGATATCGTCTAAATATAAAGGCGGCTTGCGAGATCACTAAGCACAGAGGGAAAAAAGAAGAGAATAATATTCACGTACTGGTTGAAAAGGAAAGATTTCAAATCTGTGTACGAAATCTTTTAGCGCCAGCAATTATGTTAATTATATATCTTGCAATTATTGCAAGATAAATTTAATTGCAAATAAAGAAGATGAGATATATTATCTATTACACAGCATCAGTAGGGTGCTTGTCGTAGGTTAATGACGTTAATCTTATCGTGTCTCTTTGGTCAGAAAGACATACGCCCAGCCGTGCATACAAAAGCAAGGGAATCCAAGACAGTCTTGCATTCTGGATTCCACGCATTGGATTCCAGATACCAGGCATTGGATTCTAGTGGGATTCCTTGAGCTCGATTCCAGATTCCTTAGGCAAAATTTTTCCTGATTCCTGAATCAGGATTCCCTTTTACACAGCGGACGAAAGATGATGTAAACCTGTTTAAGTCAAGATGACTTTGCATGAGTTTGCTCCACATTCTTGTAGCCCTTAAACTTCTCTTTTAAGGGCCTCTTCATATGAGCCCGGTTGACCGGGCTGGCTCGGTTACCGGGATGAATTTTGCTTTGGGTTCATATGAGAAATTTCAGCCCGGTTTCCGAGATGAGAAAAGGTCAAAGATCCTGGGTACGAGTTCTGGCGCCAAATTTAGGAAACAAAGCAAACATAGCGAAACACAAAAATTTTAACTTTTGGGCCTATCTTAGCATCGGTAACTCTTAAAGCTGTATCACTGCAGTTAAATGGGATGCTTATGATGTGGAAAATACAGCAGGCAATGCAAGACGATGCCATCCGGACCGCCAGAATTCATCCCGCCGTTCATCCCGGTAACCGGGATGAAGTGTTCATATGGCAAAATTTCCAGCCCGCTTACCGAGATCTCGGGAACCGAGCCAGCCCGCCCTCTCATATGAACACATCGAAAATTTTACAAAGGATTTAGAGGTGAGGCGAGATCTCGGAAACCGAGCCAGCCCGCTCAACCGGGCTCATATGAAGAGGCCCTAAATGTCCGTTTGCGAGGCCTAAACGAACTGAGGTAAAAATAGTAAATTTGTGCTTATTTGTATCACATGCTAATCCAACAATCTTAATGTGCATCGCTGTCAATGTTTCAATTTTCGGGATTGACGTCTTTCCATTGAATCATGGATACATGCAAATCGTGAACAGGCAACACAAATTAGCATTGACTGAATTAAAGCTGTGCCACATCCACCCACCTCCAATCGAGATTTAATTTCTTTTTAAGATGGTGGATTAAATCCTCTCTTGCATGTTACTAACTTTCTGCTGAAAAAAATTCTTTGTCGATGGCGAATTTAACAAATTTGGCAAACTGAAGTTTTCCGTTGTCACACTCCACCACCCCAGTCGATGTAGCACAACATTTCTCAAACCGACTATAAACCCTGCACCCTGTTATCATATCATTCGTAGTTCTCTGTTTCCTAATATGCGAAATTCTATGATCAATGAAAAAAATCCTTACCGATTTAAACGGTTGTCCCAGCAAGCAGTCAAGCTGTTTACTTCCTTTTCAGCTTGCAGTTATTTTTAGAGCGTCGCGGCTTGATTTAAACAAAAGGTTTTGACGCAAGCAACACTGCGGCTCGCAAGAATTGTTTTCCCTTGGGGGCGAATCTTGCTTGAAATCTTTGAAGAATCCTTTGACTGCCAATAGCGTATTTAAACTCACGCGACTGAAATAACCTTTTTGTGCTTCGAACAATTGTACGTTAAACAGTTTTTAAGATTCTAATCGGGAAATTCTACGATAAAGAATAAAGAATATATAAGGCCAGTTTCTATGCGGAGAAAGTTCTAGAAGGTCCTAGAACAGCTCTGCTATTTACTTCCTTCTCAGCTAGCACTCACTTTATAGAGCAATATCTAACTTTCTTATAAGTGGCATTCCAGCACCCCAAGATTTCGAATTCCTTTCCATACTTAACCAAGTTTGTGATAAAGTGATCAAGGTTTCTGTTTTCACCTGTTTCTTAGCGACAGCAGTCACTATATAAGAAAAAAAAAAAAATAAAAAAACTTGTTTGTCGCACGAAAATTACGTACCACTAATCGATTCTACTCAGCTCGTGATCATTGCTCAAACTTTTAACCTTTCAGTGGCACATATTGGCATATATAGATTTAGCAAAGTTAAACTTTCTTTTTCAGTGGGGATAAGAGGGGAGGAGGGCGGGTTGGAGAGGTAACCCGGTCACGACCCTTTTTTTTACACTTACAGATCAGTGACACACTGACTGATTGGCCATTTGCTCGATGACGTCATTGTACTTACCATTACTTATACCCAAGTACCACCACTTTCTTTAAGATTCGATTACTAGTCAGAATAATTCCATAAGTTAAAGCAAGAGCCATAACCATCACATGGCTCTTGGTTACAAAAAACGAGAGGGGTTAAATGAGCAGATTAGAAAACGTGCTATGAATACGCGAAGTTGATAACAGGGAAGCGTAATTTTTTCCGGACCTTCTTTCGTTATAACATCTAAAATTTCCATTTTGGTGATATAGCTGAGATAAAAGCAAAATATAGTACGCTGTTGTACTTGCAATGTAAATTAGAAAATTATCAAAAGAGTATATCTTTCAGGCTGTGTTAGCTAATGTCCTCCTGGGCCCTGATTCCTGAATGTTCAAAAGATGGATAACGCTATCCACTGGGTAAATCTCTATCCAGTGGATCACGCAAGTGTTTTCCCTAATATATACTTATCTGCTGGATAGTGGCTTATTCGTTGGAAAACGCTCCCTAATGTTTGAACAACAGGGACCTGGATGTCTAAATATACATTATCAGATTTAATGTACAAAATATACAAACGGACTGAACAGACGCTTTCGAAATTTTGTAATAGAATAGATCCTTATTTCTCCGTAAAACGTTTTCACGTGCAGCTAATGCGGATACTTTATGAAATCTTCTAACTACCAGAAGTACATATCAAGCTACAAAGAACCTACAGATAGACTGAGAAGAAAGAAAAAGATGATATAACAAAGAATTAAAGACAAAAAAAATAAATGAACAACCAAACAAAGAATCAAAGAATAAGAAAAGGAAGTCCCCAGACAGAACTATGCTCTTTTCGCCTACAAGAAAAAGGTTGGTGCAAGAACAAATCGATTCAGTTCATCCGGTCCAGATCAGCTACTCTTCCTGTTATGTTTGCACGCTCAGAAGAATAACAGGAATTGGTTAAAGAAAATTAACAACCTCGACTGAAACTGATATAAAAGTTAATGTACCTGTTTTGCTATGTGCTGTTTTTTCTTTTCGCTTTGTTTCAATGATTGTGTGGATTTCCAGTACCACTTAATCAGTTCTATACGTCACAAATAACTCGGGGAAAAGTTTACCACTCAATTTCATTTTTACTCATGTCTGCATTACAATGTAAACATCTTTTCGTTAAAAAACAAAAGAAACAAAACCAAACACAAAAATCTGAATACTATTTAGTCTACAACTTTACTTTTTGTTGTAAGAAGTTAAACCTATTAACGCATTGTCACGAGGCATTTATAACCCTGAGTGACGAATGATTGCAATTGCCGAAAATTCAGATAATGTTCCTGTTAAAAGGTTCCTGTTTGGCTGAGGAAGCTAATAACAATCTCTAAGATCATAGTTCGCCACGCAAAGGAAATACAAAAGGAATACAAAAGGAATGCAAGTCTCAGACAAAGTTGGGCTAACCTTTCAAATCCGATGTCTATAGAATACTCAGAATGAGGCGAAAAATGACGGGAGATCCGAAACTTGTGACAGTGTTGACTTGGATCAGTAAAGATCTTGTATCCGACTTGTTGATGATGACCGCTGTTATTTGTAATAAAGCAGTATCATGTACTTTTGTAAAAATAGCATAGCAAAAACAATAGTATCTAGAAATGCCCGCCGTGTATTGATTTCAGTCTGGGGGTTAATTTTCTGTCTGTACAACATAATGTAACTGGGCTCTGTACCCGTTTGAAGGAAAACGACTTTCACACGATTAATGGTCATGCCCGCGCCTTCGGCTTCGCCGTAGCCGTGAGCATGTGACTAGGAATTAGATGAGAAAAGATATCCCTCTAGCACCCAAAGGTAATAAATGGCTTATCTATTCGAAAAAATTTGTAGCTTGCGGCAACGCGCTTTCTTTAACATTTGCGTTTGATCAGATAGAATGATCGTTTGTTGGAGAAAAACTTAAAAATGGGCTTCGATGTTACAACTGAGAGACTACGTGGCCGCGAGCTAAAATGTGACAATATGCTAACTTTCGGCGCGTATCTTTTTACAACCTCTGTATCCAAGCTTTCAGCTATGCCTTTGTTGCTGAAGGCCAGGCTTGAAATATACTCTTCTGCTCCACAGCCTCTTACGTGTCAGAGATTGTTTTTACGCTTATTTTCATTCAATTCATTATCACAGTTTGGTGCTTTCGTCTTATTCTACATGTAGGTATAGTTATTATTAGCATTCTGTTCCCTAGCTGTTACCCTCCGAACTGAAACAGGTTTAACTGCGAGTACTGCAGCAAAGAAACACCACCACGGAAGTTGCTTTCTCTATAAAAGCACAGCAGCTTTCTTTGGCGAGCTCATAAAGTAAGCGTTGGAAGATCGCAATCCAGTTCAAAAATGTCAAGATTTATCCTTCAAATTGCCGCAGTGGTTTGCCTACTTATTTTCCTCAGCGGGAAAGGTTCAGCAAACGTTTGGCGACCAGCCGTAAAGGGCACTTTACCACCAAATCCTGACGATGATTACTACCAGAGTAAGTTTTTCTTTTAAACTACAGATATCAAAAACTCTGGGGTGGGGTTCCTTTAACTCCCCCTTATACCACGGTGGGGGTATGAATTTACATGTACGTCCGAGGAAGAAAAGTACTTTTGCAGTCGAAATTCATTGCCAAAAAGGCGGCTAAGGTGTAAATATTGTTGGTTTTCACATGACGCCACTAAAATTCAAACTACATAACTATCGATCCTACTGAGATTTTACTTTCATGATGTATTAGGGCAGCTGAAAACTAATTTTCATGCAAATTTTCGCTTCAAAAGGGTTCTTGGTTTTGCGATAGAGTACGCTTGAATTTTTAAGCTTTTGCGTGACGTGGTATTTACAGGACGGCCGGGAGAGCTGTCACGTAGGTTAAAAAAGTGATGTATTTCGGAGAATTTTGCTCGTCTAAACAGTTCATGGATCAGAAAAAGTATTACTTTAATGTTTATGAGTTCCTCGAGGAATAAATTCACGCTCTTGTACCAAAACTCAGTAACAGATGTTTTTGTTGGTTTCCGTCCGCCATGTTGGTGACCATCCAGGTGGGCACCAGCATGGCGTCTCCATACAAATCTCTATAAATTTGTGTAAAACATTTCTTCGGATATCTCGTATACGGAATATTCCTGTGACCTGAATCTTGGCGAGGGGCTTTGTATATTTACCTCCTTTCATTTCCCAGATTTCGGACAATATCTATTGAACGGTTTTGATTTTGATTTTGATCTGATTTTAAATGACGTGACACTGAAAACCAGCAATTATAATGAAGCCTTAGCCAAGTGTAACTGACTTATCACATCCTATACTACTAGTAAAGCATAAAAAATCATTATAATTTTAAAATTTCATTCGCAGCGTTTCAAACGGTTCCTCCCGCAAACAAAACTGCAACTAAGCTTCTGACTAACTTTTTGCGGATCTCTGGGAAATTTCCACTTGGACGCCGCAAAAGATCAACTCGCATTGAAGATATTGTGGTTGTTCTGGATCGTTCCGGGTCGATTGGAAGATGTGAATTTGGAAAAGGAAAGAAAGCTCTTAAAAACATGATGAAGGTGGCAAACGAAAACCGGAATGTTGATACCAAGTACGCTGCAGTTTCTTATTCCAATAACGCCGTAGTTAACTTCAATTTTTTGCGATACTCTACGGCGGCGAGAAGAATAATGCAGATTCCTTATGTAGGTGGGGGTAGCAACACTCAGGATGGACTTGAGAAGGCAAAAAGACTGTTCGAGGACCCCTCGTCAGGTATATATTTTATAATTGTCTTTCTTAGCAGGAAAGAAATAAAACGCAATTCAATACAAATCATTCCTTTTCAAACAACTAAAATAGATCTGTTAGTGAATAGTATGGCGAAAAAGGTATCATGGATGTATCCGTTCTTAACTAGATACGTGAACCGAGTAAAGAAACGATCCGTGATTTACGGGATATGAGGATTTACCTGACGGTACGAAAAATAAGTGGCCCTTTTTATTAACTGATTCATAATAGGGCTTTCATTACTTTTGGATACCCCTTTAGTAAACGGTTGAGATATGAAGAGCTAACCCTTACAGAGATGAGTTGAAAAGTGACAGTTGGATGCTGATGGTATTTAGAGAGCAACACTGAGAAGTTCGACTCCAGTTATCTGAGCTATTTAATTTACCATGAGGCTACATTCATTATGAATACTGCAGGGGGTAAGGGGGGAGAGAAAATACTGAAATTGAGATTCCCTATCTTGTCCAAAAGAAAAACAACAAGAACTACCTCCACCCATTCCTCCCTCCCTTACACACGAAAGTAGATTATGCGCAATGCAACTGCCGCCTATTACCTTTCGTAAACGATCGATGCCACCATTGGTAACCAAGCCTTTTGTTATTATAGACATAATATATTCCCCGGATTAAGTTACAATAAGACAAATAATACGTTTTTGAACGACCCGTGAAGCAAAGTTGAACTTGAGTTAAAAGTTATGGAAAGGGTTAGAGTCACCTGTTATTGATGTAACAGCTAAGAAAGAAAGTTTGCTACTTAAATACTTAAATTTTTCGGTGGGTGGTATAAAAAAGTAAAGGAGAAGGGGAGGGGGAAATACTCGTGCACAACATTCAAGTATTCTTTTATTCCCAGCTGCTTCCAAATGTTGTTGGTACTTATAAACAAATAGTTTTTCTTCACCTCTAAAGGACGCCGTGTTATTTCAAGAAAGATGGTCCTTCTTGTCACCGATGGCCATTCCAACTCTCGCGATCTAACTATAAGTAAAGCTAAAGCCCTAAAAGGCATTGGCATAGACATTTACGTTGTCGCTGTTGGAAGTCACATTAATGGCATAGACGAGATGGTGAATGTTGCCTCCTCTCCGCCGGAGAATCACATGTTCAGAGTCCAAACACTCGGCGATTTTTGGCAGGTCGTCAAATTCAGGGTTATCAGCCCAGTCAACCCCGGAGAATACGCCGTCTTAAACGGCCAATATGATCCTCTTTGCTAAGTTTTATAGTGTCCAAAATGTCGTAGTGTTGTAAGGAGAAATTTCTCATCAATTTTGTTTATTTGCGTCGAATTTTATATCCGTAGCTTTTAAATATTCCCTTTGAAGTTATTTTAGCCAAAATTTACTTTGAATTTGGATTGGGATGTTTTAGTTCTTTAAATTATACACATTTTACTTCAGTGTACACTTTTAAAAGGATAATTTGTTTTTGAATAATTACAGTTGAAGCTCTCTACAACTGCCACCTTAGGGACAGAAAAAAGAGGCAGGAGCGCTGAATTTTTGTAAGCTTCCAAAATTCATTTGCTTGACTCACATTAAATTTTGAGTCGTTTAGTTTAGCATATGAACTTTAAAGCTGATATTATCCAGGTTTGTTTTCAGTTTTCGGCTGATTTTATTCAGGGTTCTTTCCATTTGTTTTGTGATGTTGTAATAAGTTGATCGGTTAGTATAAATAGAGAACTGTTATCCTTTTTTTTTTATTTAGTCTGCATGCTTGTATGATTTACATTTATGATTTACGTCCATGAGCTGAAGATTAAACTGTTGAAGTCCAAGTTTAAGTGCTGTCCTGTTTTCAGTTGTAGCAAATCGTCAGTACCATGGAACAGTGACGACTTCCAGTCAAGCTAGACAAGAAAGTTGCAGAGTTAGTTTTCCCCCTTGTTATTCATACGCCGAAGTCGCTCGAATTGCCCCAACGCTAGACTTGCTACAAGTCGACCTTTTGGCGAGCGGAGCGAGCCTTGTTTGGCGCTTGTTTTCCCCGATTTGCGTCAGAGGGTACTAGGGTACTTTCCCCTATCATCAGAGGGTACTAGGCGCGCGTGCAATTATTAGACTGTAGATTAAGCCATAAAAGGTGCGGAGAAAAATCCGAGAAAATCCGAGAAAAATCACTTGGCTTCCTCCGGAGTTTCTCTAACAAAACTCCAAAAATCCCAAAAGCTAGAGTTCTCAAAGATTTCTGTAATATAAATATATCCCTTATTATTTTCACTGTTTACTAAAGGTATCGGGTGATGAAGATCATAAATATCAGAAATAGTTAATGGGGAGAAAACAATGAAAGGGAACAAGAGCGGTGCCGTTAATAGAATATTTTACGGTAGTATTACGCTTTGACCTTTCCCTCGCAATGAAGGCGAGGCCGGGAGTGCCTTTGTTTTGATGCAAACCTAGTTTTCATTTCTTGTGGAGATGAAGTTAAAAAATACGAATTAGGATAAGGCAACTGGCGTCTAGCTCAAGATTAAAAACACCAACCAGGGAGAACTGATGTTAACAAGATTAACATCAGAAAGCAGGAAGGTTTGTAACAAAATCAGGTCAACCTCAGCCTTTCTCCCACCGTGTCAGCTGTAAAATGGTAGTTAACCAATTGAAAGCTCAGACGTAAACAATCTGGGTACAAGAGATTTCCTGCGCGTTTTCCGGGTTTAGTTGCTATTATATATCTTTTGATAAAAAAACCTTGCCTCACTTTAGAAACAGGAAAAAAATGGTAGGAAAAAAGGTTTTCTTGAGGTAAAACAGCAAAAGCATCGGTGCCTAGGAGTTTGATGTTTCTATTCGAAATTTTCACCATCACTTAAAATTTCTAAGACGTTCAGTGTCTTATAGTTCTTTTCGATGAAAGATTCTCGAATAAACCGAATTTTTTCAGCATAAGCCGGCCCACGTATTGCGTATATAGTATTGACCAGGTTTGGAGTGTTTGCGACGCAGATTATTGTAGCTTATGGATGGAACCCCTCCCCATAGTTTTTGATATGTTGCAGTGATTCAAAATAATTTTGCCTTCGGTGGAAAGCCTTTGATCTTCTTAACAAGATCAGGTATATTTTATGGGTGGAGGCGCTGCTGGAGACCTGTGACGTCACAAACAATGGTTGCCATCTTGGATTTAACCAAGAATTAGAAATGAGGATAAAACCATGATAAATGGTAATTTTTTGTTCTTGACATGAATAATAACACATAAATGACCACCAAAAATGCCTTGACCACCTGCTACTTATGACGTCACATCTCGTAACCATAGAAACTGACCATTACTGAACTTGTCTCAAAATGTGCGCGAGGGATAAACGAACAGCTTCTGAAAACGTCAGGTGCTGATAATTATCCTCTAGGAAAAATCTTAGAATCTCGTTTACTGACGTGGATTTTACGGCTTGCAGTTAGTAAAAATATCTCGATTTGCTTGAACAGGGGCTGCGCAGAATCGTTGGATGACGCGGTTTCAATGATGAATAATGCTGAACGCCCGCAAGTTAGACTGTTTACAGTCCGCCTTTTCTCTTTGTTCTTATTTCAACCAGCGCGATTGCAAACTACGACGTTACGTTTTAGGGATTGGGACGAGACGAGAAAAGACGGACTGCGGACTACAAAAACCCTCCTTTATCTTGGGTTTCGCGTGCAGTAACCTTTCAAAGAAAATAATCAAGAGACTGCTCGCAGTCTACACGCAGGTAAGAATGGTTAGGATGATCGACGTAAAACAGAAAATTTCCAAAGGGACCGCTTTTGGGTGGATTTTGTGACAGTCTTTGTGAAGTTATACTTCGGTACCCTTATGCGTCACGTTTGATCCGCTTGTGTTCACTGACATTCTGTGGAACAGCTGTTTTGAACGACAATAAAGTAAAACTGAAATTTTCATTTCTTTGCATCGTTCGGTATACTCTCTTAGACAAGTTGGCATAAAAACCCACAGACCTCGAAAGAGAGAATCCCGTGTTTGAAGAAAATTATGGACCGAAAGTAAGTACGCGCGGGCGTAAGTTATAAATGGCAAATAACTATTTACTATGGAGGATTTGCCAGACACGATTTTGTCATTCACAAATCTTTGATTGGAACGATTTATTTGTCCACAAACAAGAAAGTTTTCGTAAGGGACGGACCATTAGAAAAGTGATGGGGGGCGGGGGGGAACAACCAGAAAAAAATTCATGCAAGGGAAAATGCCAAGAAAAAAAATTCATGCAAAGAAGAAGGTAAAGAAAAAAAATTCATGCAGAAGGAATGTCCGATTGTGACTTTTTCAGAAAGTCTGAGTTTCAGAAATCAACAATATTACCAGGCACAATATGAATAAACAAAAATCACGTTCTTCTCATTGAAAGGAGATCAATTAGAACCTTGTTTTTGTTTTAAATTGCAGCTAGTGTACCTACAACATACACTGTATACTGTATTATAATAAAAATAATAAAATAAAATTTGTAATAAATAAATATTAGAATTTGGTAGCTTTGTAAATATTCTATAAAATTATTTGTGCCCACAATAAAAATTAACTGACTAACGCTAACGGCGCGTAAATTGACAAAACCATAAGCTCATCAAGCGCTGAGATTTCAATAGTTAGTCGTTTCCCGGAGATGGAACGGAGAAAACGCTTTCGTAATGGTGAGTCAAAATTGAAATAGAGAGTTTTCAGCTCCACTTTTTGTATGTGTGTATGTGTTTTGTTATATATCCGATTTTTAGCGCTAAATAAGAAGACATGTGTTGCTAGGCGATCGCACTTCTTATTCCTATCTTTTTTTTAAATAGACTTTCCACTTATTCGTTACTAGAATGGAGTTTATTCAAGAACCAAAAGAGTTAGGGTTTACTTTAGAACCACCTGTTGTTTTCTATAGAATTTTTATACCCTGTGCAATACTTTTTACAGAGTCAAGTAAACAAAGACTGACATTTTTGCTTGATAGGCAGTTTTTCGCTTCGCTGAGCTTCGACCTCGTTTTCATGTTTTGCCTGAAAAATTAGTACGATTTCGCATTCGCTTAACCTCCTTTTCCCTTCTTTTGAAGTAAAGATTTTTCAGTTAACCTCCGCGTCTTGGTTTTGTTTATAACCGATTTTTAGTGAAAATAATTTAATGATTAAAGATTTTTCATTTAGTATAATCTGCAAGGATAACACGTTCAAAATTTGCCAGCTTTTATTTTGAACACATAACAGTTTCTACAATATCCAATCAGAAGACTAGAGCAAACAATATCTAATTAGAAGACTATAGCAAATAGCTAATTATATAAAAATCACTTTTCTGTTTATAGATTATGATCTCAACATTTTTTGATGACGTCAACTCTAGGAATTTTGACGTCACTTGCTCCTTGCCAGCTACAAGTAAACTATGACATCATCCTATCTATATGACATGCATGACGTCAGCCAGCTAAAAATAAACTATGACATCATCCTTTCTGAATGGAATGCATGACGTCATCGGCATTAATTTAAAGTATGACATCATCCCATCTTAATGAGATGCATGACGTCATCTACGTTAATTTATACCGCACAAAAAGTTAATTAAATCCGCAAAGAAAAGGTTAATTCGGTGCCTTATCCACTACTCACACACACACACACACACACACCCCTCACCGCCACCATTACCATAGATGCCCTTAAGTAAATACCTGAAAACACTGGTAAACTCAAAACTGGACTGAGCTGCCATCACAGCTTCAATAATGACGAACGTTATTGTGTAACATCTAGTATCGAGAAGGATGTTGATCGCTTGATTGAAGATTTAGACAAAGCATTTGCCAAGTACCCGGGTGCTTACCACATTGACTCAAAATCTAAAACTTCTGAAGCCAGAAAGAGAAAGGAGCACAGAAAAAAAATCAAAGAACAGGAGATTGAACGCTTCAAATAACAGACGAAAAAGAGCTTGCATTATATTTAGATCTTTGGGAGGAAAGCCTGTTAAACTTTGTTATGAACCAGATATATATGGAATCAGCAAATCGATTCAGTCGATGAAGAAACATTACTTTTATTCACATCAAAAACCGAGAAAGCTTGTCTACCAGATCCGTTTGATTCCCATTGTTTTATGGAGGAAGCTGAAAAACAAGTTCATGATTTTTGCTTTACATAGGATCAGCTCAAATAAATTAGAAGACGGGTTAAAATTGATCAGTTGTGAATTTGCTTTTCATTTTGATGGAATATTTTCA